TTTGACTCCTAAGATTACATCGACTTCTCCCAAATCTGTCATCCTAAATTTAGTGGATAAAAAACTTAGTTTTTTAATGGAATAAATGTTAGTATTGAAAATCAACATGTTATCAACATATAAACTATCGATGATGCAATCAACACCAAACATCCTTGAATACACGCATGTATCCAAACCATTCACAACAAAACCAAAAATATGGATAGTTTTGTTAAATTTCTCATACCACTATTTAAGAGCTTATTTGAGGCTATAAAATGTCCTTTTAAGTTTGCACACTTTACCTTCCATGTAAGGTGCCTCGAAGCCTGGAGGTTGATCCATAATCTCATCATTCAGATCTCTATTCAGAAATGTAGTCTTTATATCCATTTTATGTACTTGCAACTTTTGAATAGAGGCTAATGCAAATAATGCAGGGATCATTGAGACTTTCGTTACGGGAGAATAAGTATCGAAGAAGTTTATGCCAAATTTTTGAGTGAACCCTTTGATAACTAGCATTACCTTGTATCTTTGGATATAACCATCTAGTCTGAGTTTCTTCTGGAAGACTCATTTTTTGTTGATAGTTTTAAATCCTCTAGCCAACTCAACCAATTCCCAAGTATGATTAGACATTATTGATTCTAGTTCATCATTGATAGCATTTTCTAGTAACTAGCAACAATGTATCTTATAACTTCCTCATATGTCTAGGATCCTCATCTAACAGAAAATTTTGAGCTATAGGATCAGATATGGAGTCTAAATCATTTATCTCGTAAATAAAGAAAGTTATGAAGTCTGGTCCAAAAGAGGTTTCAACTCTTTGCCTTTTACTTCTTCTAGGGTTTTTAGAGGAAAAATATTTTCAAAGAAAATAGCATCCCTTGATTCACAAATAGAGAAGTCTTATAGAAACATGAACTTGTATGCGGCACTGTTTGTAGCATACCCTATAAACACTACATCAACTGTTTTCAGACTGATGGTGGACTTCTTAAAGTTTGGCAAACCCACTTTATCCATACACCCCCACACTTTCAGGTATTGCAAATTTGGAATGTAGAATTTCCACAATTGATAAGGAGTAGAATCTAATTTCTTGTACACACCTCTTTTAAGAAATTTGATCCTTCACCACCTCTATTGGATCTAACCCATTTAATTCTCTTATCTAACTTCTTCTCAACTTATTCCTTATAAATAAGAAAGAAGTTCTCAACTTCATCTTTAGTTCTTAGGAGATTTAAATTCCATAAACCGACTGTCACTTGTTACCCTCTGAAAATTTAAATTGAACAGACTACTATGCAACCTATAAATATTAAAGAAAAATTCTTTCACATTCTTTATTTGCTCAGAGAAATTTTCTCTAAAATGATAGTATCCATGCGTACATATCAGAGCCGAGCCAAGACGAGATGAAACGAGATGGCGGCGGCACGCGAGATGGCCCCTTGTTCTCTATCACTCAACAAGTAAGGGAAGAATGAACACTATAAATACGCAAGCCAGTGGTATTTTCCACTCAATGTGGGATAGTGTTTTATGCATTACCAACATAACTCGTATAATTTTTAGATAAGATATTTCCAGAAAAAATTGTCTCCAGCCAAGAAATCCATATATGGTGAACACTTGATAATGCAGAAAAAAAGCCACAAGATTTTTCTGATAGCCATTGGGTATCGTCTACAGAGGACATAGAAAAGTACCATTCTCTCTTTTTCTGTCAAAAGATCATAAGATTAGACTGGGAATAACCTTGGTTGTTTGTTTGTTGTCAGGACCGGGATTGTTATCAGTACCGAATAGTGGTGGCTATTGGTGTGGTTAGTCCTTGCCGAAAAGCTGTTGAGGTGTGGTTGGTGACCTTTGGCCTTAGGGTTGTGTTGTTTCCTATTGGATGAATTTATTTTCTTTCTTTGATTGAATTTTAATGATTAAAAAATTATTTATTCCACATCATAATATCGTTAAAAAATTATTGGTAGATGGGTAAAAAAATTCAATGTATAAAGTTGAGTGAGTTAATTGAAAAAAATGAAAAGTATAATAAATAAAATAAGAAAAATAATAAAATTTATTTATTAAATTTATAATTTATTCTTAAATATTAAAATCTAAATCATTAAAGATTAAATTAAAATAACATATTTTTCAAAAACAAATATGAACGCCTAAAATGGGTTTAGATTAATCCTTTATTAATAGGACAAAATTGAATATAATATAAAACCAACGTTTGGAGAAGGATAAGCCTTTAAAAAATCTAAAATATGTTAACATCATATAGGCAGGCCTATGAACAACTGCACATGTAGCTCTTGTTCTTTCAATTTAGGCTCATGAACCTCCACATACTTTTTTAGGTAAAATGAAGTGGCTCTCAAAAGATAATACAGCTAACGTTATCACAACATCATATTCAATAGTCATGAGAAAGTGGGATCCTTGGTTACATGCTGCAAACCTTGCTAAGTTACTCACATGCAATGCCGGATGTATTATTCTATTTTCTGTTATTTGTATGCTATTCATTTGAAATTTTATTTGTGTTTATTTATACAAAAAAATTTATATTATTAATACATATATATCTATTTTAAAAAATATTTATATATAAAATCTATTTATATAATGTAATTTTTTTAATTTTATAGTTTTCTAGAATTATTAGATGAGTGAAAATATACTATTTTTATCGAGAAGATGAAAATAATCTCAATCATTTATTTTTATTCATTCAATCATCTTTAAAAAAATATAAAACTATTTTTTTGTCTCAATAGTTAAAGAAATATTGTTCTCCCTTGAAATTCCGAGTTCGAGCAGTTACATTTTTAGAGTGCAATGATTAAGAAAGATTATAAACATATACTATTTTATAATCAATTTAAACTATTAAAAGAATAAAACTAAGGGGTTGTTTGGTTCACGGAAAATAAGATTATCTTTGGGAATAATATTACTGGAATGTAACATTATTATGGGAATGTTGTATTACCTTGGTTGGTTGTTTAGCATGAACATAAAATTATAGTGTTTGATTGGAAGAATATAAGATTACTTGAATGCATATTTTACCAAATTATTCTTGTGATATATAAATATTAAATTATAAATATTTGAACGAAATTCATAGAAATATTTTAATCATTATATTATCTAATTTTTGAGAAAAATATATTTAATATATAATTAGTATATTAAACTTATATTTTTAACTAATTTTCATAAGTATCATATTTATTTACGTAAAATATAATATAATATAAAAAGTTAATATTATGATCTCGATTGGACAAAGATATTATTTTTTAATATATAAGATGTATTTTTTAATAATATAAAGTTATATATTATTTTAAATAATTACCTTTTTACAATCATATTATTTTTCATCTCAAAAAATTATAAATAATTAATATATTAAATATTAAATAAATTTAAATACTAAATTTATTAATGTTTTACTAAATTAATTTTTATATATTAATTATTATATTTATAATTTTGAATAAAGTATAAAAAAATTAAAAAATACCATTATAAAGAGAATTCTTAAGTCTAGGGATATTATTGTCAAAAGTGGTGGGAATTGTCTAATACCTAAAAATTTGTATGTAATGACATTCTCGCTATTTTGATAAAAAAAAATGCTACTATTAGAAAAAGATTATTCCCTGATAATAATATTTTTCGTGAACCAAACGTAAAAAATATAATTCTGTAAAAAAATATTCTCTTTGGTGATTTTTTTTGAACCAAACGTCCTCTAAAAGTTTTATGCTAAATGTAAAAGAAAAGTGTACATATATAAGCTCACGCTGTTTCATTATTTATATACGTATAAGCCCACGCTGTTTCATGGGATGCATGTTCAATATCCGAAATAAAGTAGGACATTTTGGTTCAATTTCCGGAGTCAATTGATTGGTCTCTAATGTGTAAACACCAAACCCTCAATTTTGCCTTTAAAGCAAGCCACTGGGAGAATAAAGTTCCAACAACCACCCAACCCTAATTACATGTCCACACTAATGCAAGTTGCTGATTGCGAAATCCCAATCAACCAACACCAAGTGGAGAATTTTTAAAGCCTAGACCACTACTCACATTATGTGGCAACCGGCATCAAGACCTAAGGGAAAAGAGAAAATAAATAAGGTGATGAAGATTATGAATAATAAGACAGATTTAGAGAGTGTATTCTCTGTATGATGATTTCTTTAATGTTGGTGTAAGATTTAAGGTGAGATAGTTATTTGTACATTGATAAGTTAATAGATCAAATTGTTAGATAGTAGATTTAATTGGTATATCACATGACTCTGTCTGTGATAATATCAAGAGATTGTAACTGATCGATTGATATCGAAATTCGAAGACTTTAAAAAATTCTGAGAACTTCAAGATTCAATAGAAAAAAAATAACAAAGTGTAATTTTCAGAGGAGGTCTAATGGAGGTACAACAAGAACAACATTCATTTGACCATAAAAAATATTTTCCTACTGATCCAAAAAAAAGGCTAAGACTATAGGATCAAACTTATGCAAGACTTAGAACCCTGTAATCAAAGCCAAATTGATACATATACAAATCGAAAACCAAATCACCTCTTAATGGATTATCGTTATCTCTTGAAGTCTCAAGATTGAACATTGCGTATGTTAAGAGTGTCAACATTTATTATATAATATCTTAAGTAATCAATAATTACGGGCTGAACCATGGCCCTTGGTAGTGATAGTAAATGACAAGCATGTTGAGAACTGAATGTGAAACAATTGACCAATTTCCATTGGAGGGAGAAAACCACTTCATATGTCATAGTTCATATGGCTGATCCATCATACCAGAAACATGCTTATGTTAAACCCAATTCAGAAGATTGGACCCCAAAATAGAATTACCAACAAATGAAGTTCTTCCAACTCAGAAACAAGGCTGACAATGTCAATCATAAATACTAAACAGCAGATTAAGAAATTTAATATTGCAAGAACATAAAGAACGGGGAGAACTTCTTCTCCCAATATTAAAATGAATATTATAAGATTACAAACAGGGGAAAAGTGAGAGAATTTTGTTCTCTTAAACCACCCCTATACCAAAAGAAAAAAAAGAGAGCATCTAACCCTTTTTTTCCTCCATTGTTCCTATACACAATCCAATCACTGTTTCCTTTTCTCCAAATTCGATTCTTTCCTTGCATGAAATCTGATAAAATCCAAATAAAAGCAAGCAAATATAAAGAACAATTCAAAAGAAAAAGGAACAAAAAGAGCCCCACCCATGTTCATGGCAATTTTTTCAACTTATTGTCAATGTGTTGTGACCTTTGACCTTTTCTTTGCTTCACTGTAAAGCACAACACCCATAATTGTAACACCGAATCCAGCCATCCCCATCATGGTGACCGGATTCCGGAAGATCATAACCGACACGAAGGCCGCCACCGCAGCTTTGCCGTTGCCCAAAACCTGCAGGGTAAGTGCACTTGTATGCTTGGTGACCAAAAAATTTGCCAGATTCACCAAATAGGCCACCGTAGCATTCCCAACCAACAAGTAAACAATGAAAGCATCAGTCCTAGCTTTCTCAATTGTAATGCTTGCAATGTTCCCTTCGATATAGAGTGTAAATGGTAACAAAATCATGGCCGCCATAGGCGCCATGTACAACAACAAGTTCAAGGAATGCAGCTTCTCAGCTTCACTGGTCAACAATATCCCTTGAACCACAGACTTCAAAGCACGACCAGCAGTGGAACCAACGCAAACCAAGAACCCAAAAAGGTTGAACAATGGCTCGCTGTTACTAGCCAACACAATCCCGAAAACCACAGGCAAAAGCGCACAATAAACCTCGGCAGATTCCTTCTTGCAAGTGATTAAGAAGGCGAAAATCGCAGTGAAAAAAGGGGTTGTCGCTCCAATAGCTTGGTTAAACGACACCGGAATGTACCTTAAAGAAGTGTTCCCACACACCACGGAGAAACAGAAAATGGCACTCAAAGCGAAGATCTTGAACAACTGCTTCCTCGACACGATGTGTTGCCTGGGAACTATTTCGAGGAAGTTTATGGCTACGTAGCTGTATGAGGCGCATGAGATCATGTGAAGCATGGTGAGGAATATAGGATAACGGTAGCCATAGAAGCTGAGGAGATACTTGTTGAGTAAAAGGACCCCAATGTTGGACATGAACCATGACGCAACGATGAGGGCCGTTAAGAGGTTGGGAGAGAGACGTGATCCGACGGTGTAGATGCTGTTTCTAACATCGCCGGTTGGGGTTGCCGGGATGTCCAAAACTTGGTGGTCGGAAGTGGCTGTGGGGTCCAATCTTGGGTTGCTCATCCTCCGTGTTGTCCATGTTTGCGCTTCCACCATTTTGGGTGTTTCAGGATAACGGTAAAGACTGTAGCTTTGAGCTTCGAAATCTCAAACTTTTTTATATTGGAGAGGGTTTCTCTCTCCAAGATTGAGTAAATGACAAACAAAATAAAGTGGTTCCTTGGCTGGTTAGATCTGAAGGAGCGATGGAAGAGTGAAGAGGATACGTTCGTTATGAGGATCTGATCAAAGGGTGCAGATTTAGATTTGAGAAATGGAGAAATAAGAAGCGTTGGACGGGAAGTAAGCGCTAGAGGTTAACGTTCCATCTAGTCTAGTTATGATAAAATAATTTTTTTTTGGTTTTTCGAGTTGATAAATCATATTTTACAACTTAAAATTTATTTATTTTTGTTTAAGTAGAATTTATAATACTTAATTCTAGTCTAGTTATTCGAGTTTATTCAAATTGTTCGAGTTTCTGTTTAAATTTAATTACAAATATTTATAATATTATGATAATATTTGATTTTAATATAATGATTTTCAATAACCATATACAATACATATATATTTTTCATATGTGATATACATATAGTATATATAGTCGAATGATTCGACTCAAACTTAAAAATTAATCTATTAAAAATTAATCTATTAATTAAAAAATTGAATTTTTGAATTTGAAATATTTTCGAGTTGAGCCGAATTTATAAAATTATGACTCGAAAATAATTCTAGTCGAATTTTTTCTGGTAGAGTTAAAAATTAATTTTTTAAGTAGAGCCAAGTTTTACTTAGGGGTGGTACCCGAAATATCGGGTACCCGAAACTTTCGGGTCACAATAATTCGACCCATGACCCAGCCAGTAAAAGGCAGGTACTCGTGAGTCGGGTCCCCATAAAACTCGGGTACCAGCATTTTTTGGGTCCCAGGTACTCAGTTTATATTTATTTTATTTTATTTGTTTAATTTATATTAATGTTTTTAGAAAAATTCACATTGAAAAATATAAAATTTAAAACTTAAAAATTTATAATACATAACATAAACATAAAATTTATTAATTCAATTTATATTTTTTAAAATATAAAAAATAAAATAAAATTATAAAACTAAACTTAAACTAATTTAAGATTAAAATAAATAATTTTAAAAATAATTTAAATATTAAGGTGAAATAATTTGAAAAAATATATACTTAAAATGTTAGGGTAAAATAATTTTAAAATTAAAAACGAAAAATCTAATTTAAAATAAATTAGTAATAAAAATCGACGGATACCCCGTTAAGGATAATTTTGTGACTCAGACCCGACCCAAAAATCACCAAAAATAACAAGTTGGGTACCTGACCCACAAAATCGGGTATTTATCTCTAAAATACTCGATAATTTTATATCGGACCGACAAGTCAACGGGTCAACGGATTAAATAATTCGAGTCTAATATTTTTGAACACCCTTAGTTTTACTCTCCCTTATTAAGCGTATTAGGGAGAATAAAATAAACAAAGTATAGGTTAGATATCCTCCTTTAGATATTTGACATTGTTTCTGGTAATGGATTCGCACCAAGAAAATAAAGACTTTTGTCTGAATCTCATATTTTATTTTATTTTTATATGGTTTAATAATAAAAATAAGTATCTAAATTATATTTAAAATTAAATTTTGATGTCATTTTTTTTAAAAAAAAATAGGTGTTTATTTTTTTCTATATTACACTTTTAGGTGTCTACCGTCAAAAAATCATTAAGTGACATATGTCATATTTATATTTTTTATTTTTAAATAAATTATTTTTAAAAAAATATGAAAGTGACATGTATTATTTAACGGTTTTTTAACGATATGCATCTAAAAGTGTAACAGCGAAAACATTGCACACTTATTTTTAATGAAAAATTCCTTAGCCACCAAAAAATCAATTTTAAGTATATTTAAACACTTATTTTCATATTAAACCTTTTTAAATTTACTTAAAGGGTAAATCACGAATATAGTACCTTAATTATAAAACACTTTTTAGTTAGCCATAAAAAGTTACAAATTAATTTTTGAATATAGAAAGTTACAAAATAAAATTTTTAGACAAAAACTAATGTGACAACTAATAAATTGGCATAGGAAAAAATTGTCTCTCGACATTTAGACTTTATTTTAGTTTAATCTTAATTCTAACAAAATTAACCTCAAATATTTAAATATTATACCGATTTAATCCATATGAACCCATTTTGTAAAACTTCAAACTCAATTCAAAACGATTGACGAATCAGAAGGTACTACAATAGATCCCCAAGAAGACCTATAATTAAAATTGATATTAATTTTACTTTAAAACTGTCATTTTTCATCAAACAAATCCAAGGTATTTTAACTAATCCAAATAAACCAAGTTAAGAAAGTTATTACAAAACCAAAGCTTCGTTAACTTAAAAAAAAATACAGACCCAATATTTCAAAACAAAGTTTACAGAACAAATAATATTGAGGGTCTTGCACGAACCAACTTGCTTCATTTGGTTAAAGGAATCATTGTTGTTATCGAGTACCAATGACTACAGTAGAATGATTGAGCACTAATTGTCAAATGACTGAGACTATTTAAAATATATATTACTTTGTAATTACCTTAGTCTAATTAAAAAAAATTGAGGCTCTTATTAATATGTAGGTCTGACGAGAATTATGATTCTTTGATAATTTTTTATGCTGAAACTCCTCAATATATAGTGTGCCTCTACTATACCACTTGAAGTATATAAATCTAAGCAGACTAGCCATAATTTATGAGCAAACAATTCAAGGCTTTCATCATTAAGTAATTACTAGCATGGTATTATCAAGTGAAGCATGAATAAAACAAGAAGTAATACAATCAATCAAGAATTTAGGACTCGCATATTTTACCGTAATCATACCATTATTTACCTAATCATAATTGTTACTATTTACTTATTTACCTTTGATAAGGCCATTAAAGTTACAAGTAATATTACAATTATGGTTAAAGATATTGCCCATGGAGATGTAAAATAATAATCATAATAACAACAACAAAAACAACAACAGCGTCACTAAGATCGCTATTCCATACAATTATGCCACTAAGGACATTATATATTGATTCTTTTATTATAAGCTCAATTATGGAATAATTTTGCATCTAACTCGTTAATTCTTATTTATTATAGTTAAATACGTTTAATTAACCATTCTTTAGTGCTTAATAAGTTTAAGATGATAAAAAGAACTAATTGGATTTTTTCCTCAAAAAATAAGGCCTGAGTATCAATACCTTACTAATGTTATCATCATCATGCCATTGATATAAATATCCTAGGAAGGTATTGCTACCAAATTTAACTTCGACTTTTGAAAACAGAAACTCTCATGATCAAGGTACTGATACCATACCCCTGGTATCAATATCCTAAGGCATGTATCAATACATTAAAATGTTGTTTGGTTCACGGAATGTAAGATTGTCTTTGGCAATAAGATAACTGAAATATTGTATTACCTTAGGAATGTTATATTATCTTATTTCGTTTGTTTAGCATGGATGTAAGATTACAGTGTTCGATTGGAAGAATATAAGATTACTTGGATGAATAATTTACTAAATTATCCAATTGCGACAACAATGGAATCGTGCAAACAGTCTAAAGAGGCCTATACCCCTATTCAAGGTAACTGAAATGCCTGATAGGGTCATTGATTTCCTCGTCTGGAGGACTGACACTGGCTCGCAGGCTTTACTTGCTTGCAGGAACTTCAGATATCTCTTTTGCCTTAAAGAATCCAATTGCATCTCAAACCCTAGGGAAGGCAACTGACTCAGAGGAGGGGTTGACAGATATATATAACCCACATGGCACTCGTACTAACAATATGATGTTACCCTCTGGGGCAGAGACTAGACACAACTTACCCATGGAGACTAGGCAAGACTAGCAAGGAACTGGTCGGGATCAACAGCAAGGGCAACTACTATGATATGTGTTTTTTTTCCAATAAGTTAAACTTTGATATTAAATTATAAATATTTGAATGAAAATTTATAAAAAATTATATTAATTTTTACAATATCTAAGTTTCGAGAAAAAAATATTTAACATATAATTAATATAAATAATATATTAAATTTATATTTTAAAATAATTTTAATAAGTATCATATTTATTTATATAAAATATAATATAATATGAAAACATAATGTTGTGGTCTCAAGTGGTTAAAGATATTTTTTTATGTATAAAAATAATTTTTAATACTTAAAATTATATAATATTTTAAATAATTTTTTTACCATAATATTATTTTTAACCTCATAAAATTATAAATGATTAATATACTAAATATTAAAATATAAAATAATTTTAACTACTTAAATTTATTAATATTTTACTAAATTAAACTCTTTGTGTGGTACTGTAACGCCAAAAAAATTTGAGTCAATGTCATTAGTTTGACCCGAGTAGGGATGGCAAAAAAACCCGAACCTGACGGGGAAATCGAAAATTGAATTAAACGGAGACGGGGAAAAACCGTTTATGTTAAACGGGGACGGGGAAAATCGTTTATGCTAAACGGGGACGGGTTTGGTAATCCCCGCCCCGATTACTCGGCCTGATACCCGACCCGATAAATATTAAAAATAATTATTTATATATATATATATATATATATTAATAAATTTAAATTAAATTAAAAAATATATATAATATTTATATATTTAATTTAAATATATATACCCGACCCGATACCCGACCTGATACATGTTTAAATAACCGTTTATGCTAAACGAGGATACTCGTTTCCCCGCGCTTTTCCCCGATTACCCGATGGGGATCCCCGATTAAATCCTCGCGGTTTTTTAAGCGGGGACGGGTAGAGATTTTTTAAACAGAGACGGGGACGGGAGGACCAATACCCGGCCCGAAACCGGCCCGTTGCCATCCCTAGACCCGAGTGGGTCTTGGAGTAGTTATGAAAATATTAGAGATCACTGGGTTAAATTTGGGCTTGATTTGGTTGGGATATAGCTCAAATAGTTATAAAAAAGACAATTTTGAATTGAGTTCAAAAGAGGAGGGACTAAGGAAGTAATCAACCCTTAAATTGTTTTCAAATGATGATTTCCCTTTAATGACTTGATGTCAACGAGCTGAAGAAGGGGAGACAAAGCTGCACCATTCTTCTCATTTTTTTCCACTCTTTTATCTTCTACTCCTCTTCATCTTTCTCTTTTCTCCAAAGCTTTGAAACATCAAAGGTAACAACTTTGTTAGCTATCATTACTAGTTCGAATTTGCAAAGGTAAATAGTGTAATATTCATCTCTAGAGCTTCAATCCAAGCTCTCTTTCTCCATAGTTGGCCATGGTGGCCATAGGTGAGGGTTTAAAAGGGTTTTAGAAATCCCAGTTAATCTAGTCCATTTATTATGGATTTTAGCTTGTAGGAGGCTTCCCTAACTTCCTTTCAAGTCATTTCATGAGTTAGTACACTACAACAAAACATATTTTTAGCAGTCTTTTTTTAGTCTTATAGCTGCATTTTTAAGCGTCGATAAAAACTTTTCTGACACTAGGAAAAACGCCGCAAAAAGCACCGATAAAGCAAACACCACAACAGTTAGCAGTGTTTATGAACCAAAAATGCTGCAAAAAGCACTGGTAAAGCAAATGTCACAATAGTTAGCGGCGTTTATGAACCAAAAATACTGCAAAACGTCAAGATTTATAACGGCGTTTTAGAAGCAAAAGTTGCAAAAGGCCATGCTCTGTAGTGGCATTTTGGAAACAAACGCCAATATATGTTATGATATATATAGCGACGTTTGTGATAAAAAAATCGCAAATTTGTACGCCATTAGTGGCGTTTTCTTCACAAAACGTCACAAAGATTGTGGTTCTACTGGCATTTGTTTACAAACGTGGCTATGATTAATTGATTTTGCATATATTATTTTCTACTCTATATTACCTAATTTTAATATCATGTAGTATTTTCTTATTAAAAACAAGATTAAAATTTAGTTACGACACAAATTATGTAGAAAAATACTTAACAACAAAATAAATTAAAGTTTATAAGATCCAAGTCGATAAACGTCTGAATTCTAGAACAAATAATCATATATATGTATTGAAGACTTGAGGCATTATCAGGCTACTTACGACCACAGATCATCGCCTACAAGCATCATACCCCCTTCATCATCAGTGTAGACAATCTCCCACAAAAAATAGCCCATTAACTATATGAGAATAAGTTGATCTATGTTACTGGTTGAAAAGGATTAAACTTTTCGCAATTAATAATTGGCACCACATACTTCCCCACGCTTCTGCTTTGATTTTCTTGTCCTTAAACGTAAGAGCTGCAACATCATTCCAACACTTAATGAAACTAACATATAAAATGCTAAAAAAAACTAGTTCTATGTAAACTAACATAAGGAGTCTATTCTTCAAGAAGAGTTTCTGTTTCAATCTAGACAAAAGGAAACTAACATATAAAATGCTATGTTCATTCACAGCAAGTCACAATTGCCTTGAGCATCATATTTGAAGAGTTTCGAACTTTCCATTACCGACGACGCGTTAAATGAAAGTAAGTCAACATAGAGTCGTGGATGATCTAAACTCAAGAAACTGCTTGTACACCGAACATATCAGATAAAGAACTACACAATGACATTATTCCAAGTTTAAACTTGGATTTAACATTGTTCCAATCACGAACAAAAGGATTCCAAGGACTAGTAGTATTCTACTTATAGGAGGTGAAAAAAATGAAACATCGATGCCACAAACGGCAATCCCAAATAGAAGACCACAAGTAACCGAGGACTTGATATATTCCATTGGCAATTTGATAGAATATCAAACAACATTCCTATATTTCTTTTCTCATGTAGCATAGCGTTTTACTGGTATTAAAATCCAAAAGTTGAGACTTACACTAGCCATATCCCAATAACCAAATGAGCCGGGGTAAGGTTTAAGTTGATTCACCTCAAATAGCTAAGAACTCTAAATGGTCATAACATTTCAAAATCCTTTCCAACATATAATAAAGTTAAACAACTAACCTTAGATAAAGGAATATAAACACATAATCAGTGCTCATCCATATGAACAATAATATATCAATCTCAAAACCTCTATTTAATTTGAAACCTTCCAAGCCATTGTTAAAGGTATATTTATATCACAAACGATGTAATTAATAGGTGGAAACAAAAGAACGACAATTCAAGAAACAAAAAATGTCCACAAATATATTTTAGTAAACCACAGAGCCTACAATACAAACCTCATCCTTCTGTTGTAACTTTGCTTTTCCTTCAACCTCGATCCGTTTAATTTCAGCAGCTCCCTCATGAGTAACTCTGTCGATACATCAAATTCCTCATTTGCAACCTTTGTCCCACTGTTCACGGCCACTTCTAGAGCAACAACCTATCCAAAGAACCCATAAAAGATAGAGATAATTCAATTTAAGCCTTGATGTAGTATAATGCCTCCCCGTCCGTTACTCCATACTAACGAAAACAACATGCAGAGAAACTCATTCTTTCAGAAAGCTTGTTGACTTTACTGATTCTAGCAACCACCTCAAAGGCCTTCTACATTTCTTCACTTTTTTTCACTTCTTCAACCTTATTATCATTGTTTGTTGGATTACCAAGTGTCGTAACCATTTTTCGGTGAGGACAATCGTTTAATTGTTTTAAAAATAGTTACGATTTTTAATTTTGGAAAATGGTGATTTTGAATTAAATTGGATATAATTGAAAAGAGTCGCCATCAACCTTTGGGTTAGGTAGATCAAATACCTAAAAGTGTCTTTTAAAAAAATCATTTTAAGAAAAATCATTTTTTAAGACAAAAACTGGTCTTTGTTTACCAAAGATTTTATTAAAATAGGTTCGGGAGTCGGTTACGTATGGGGAAGGATTAACACCCCACAGCGCTCAAAATTGGTACTGTGTCACTTATATGTTGTCGTAAATGGTAGAAATAATGAATCAAATATAAAGTTAAATTATGATCCATTTATTGAATAATTTAATTTGCTTCGCATTAATAACTTAAAGTAAGAAATAAAATAAAATAAGTATTTAATCTTATAAGAACCAAAATAATTAGAACAAAAACTTAAAGGGTTAATAAACCAAAATTAAAAATTACAAACATTAAATAACATAAGTACTAAAATGAAAATAATCCAAAAATAAAATTTAGAACTAAAGTGCAACAAATCAAAAACTTGAAGGCTAAATCACAATTAAACCAAATTAAAACAAGGACTAAAATGATATATTTACAAACATCATAGCCAAATTTGAATAATATAAAAAATACACAAATATATTAAATCAATGATTAATATGTAATATTTATAAATATTATGCACGAAGTCAAATATTAACATAACATGTAATAATGTCGAGTTATGCACAAAGATAACATACAAGATTAATTAAAAGATACCCTGTACCTAATTTATATATTAAAATGAATAAAACTATATATGTAATTTATAAACAATCAAAAACTAATAATAATTAAATATTGTTAAGAAAATATACATACACATTCTAATAAAACATACAAAAGAAATAAACATTAAATATATACATGCGTATATAAAATATAATATATACATATTTCCAATAAAATGTATAAAATACATTACCATATACAAATTATAAAACATTAATATATATATATATATATAAATATTCAAATATGCATATATATGTAAAAAAACACCAATGATAATATGGAAACCTTAAACAATATTACAAATAAAATTATTTACACATACGTGGTGATTAAGAAGGCTAAAGGATGTTAATAATAACTTGTAATTATAAACTACAAAATCAACATCAAATCAAGATAATAATTAAATATCAAACAATATATATACTAACAATGAAAATACCTCACATAACAATATTATAGATTTAAATAAAATACACACCATAATTATAAAATGATCAAAATCAATTAATATAAAAAACTAAAATGAATTAAAAAAACGTATAATACTAAAACATGAATAAATTAATGTAAGATAGTTAAATCTCAAATATAAGCATAATTATTCATATAAGTAAGTACGAAATTAAAATTTTCAATAACTAATAGACTTGAAATGAAAATAATGAAAACTTCATTAATGACCAAATTAAAATAATACAAACCAAGAGGGTATGCTTCACTAATATTCCATATATGAAGCATTAAATTTTTGCTTGGTATTTTAACCAAGAAACCTGCGTGCGTGAGAACCAGAACCCCCTCCCTTCTTTTTTCTTTCACGTATATCTCTGTCTCTCCCTCTTTGTGACTTTCTGCCTGCCTTCCAAACAAGGATTGATTGGAGTTTTTATAGCCCCAATTCTCACATGCTTTTACATAAAATAATACAATTTGTTGGGTGTTTGATGCATCAGAATGCATTTATCCATTTAGTGCCAGGAAACAAAGGATAGTGGTAATTTAGGTATGGTGGAGTAAGATATAATGAAAATGGTGCTTGGTCGAGTCATGAAATACGTGAATGGTGGAGTGGGTGGAGTATGGATAGTGGAGCATAGTAAAAAAATGATGCTGACACCAAGCATAGTAGAAAGATTATAGTTCATAACAGAAAATTATATCTTCCTTTACCAATTTGAAAACAACCCTCAAACATTCAAAAAGATCATAAAAGAAAACGATAACTATTTTTTAAGTTCACACAAAACTAAAAACTATTTATAAACATAATAAAAGAAATAATTATCCACAACACAAAAGCTACAATTAAATCCCGCAGGAACAATTAACACGCCAATGCATCATGAAACGAATGAACTAATTATCCCAAAATCCCATTTCAGATAAAAAAAAACAGACAAAGTTCATCAAATTTTACAAATAAATATAGAAATGAGAGATGGAAAGAAGAAGATATCTTACTTGAATAGTTCATGGTGAAAAATATGGTTTAGGGTTTTTATTTTGCTTCTGTTTGTGAAGTGAGAAATCAATGATGGAGAAATCTCCAGCGATGCTTGATGCGACTACTGTTGCAAACTCCATTGATGGCTATAGTGCTTTGAGAGAGAATAGTTTTAGAAAATGAGAGGAATGAAGAACCCGATTTAATGAAGTTACTCTACTAGAAGATGGAGGAAGAAAATGTTGAAAAGAAAAACTAGGGATTGCACACAGGATATATGAATCCTGCCAACGCCACTAATTATATATCTATAGCGACGTTTGTTACAAAAATATCACTAATGTACGTGTCTATAGTAACGTGTTTCCAAAAACAACTGTGATATTGTGTGACTCATGTCTTATCTAAGGTACCTTAGGTAAGCTATAGAGCTGTGATTCTTAGATGATGTGTGACCTTGCCCTACACCATGATGTATACCTATGTACAAAACAAGCTTACTTATTACTATTGTATTTTAAATTCTAAACAAGCTTTAGGGAGATCGATGGAATATGACATTAGGGATGCCAATTACTCTATTGTATTTTAAATGTTATCTTTATTATTAGAGTAAACTACATATTTAATACTTAAACTATTACTTTTGTTATATTTTAGTACCTAATATTTTTTTAAATCATATCTAATGTTTATTTTAGGTTTCATTTTGGTATCATATCGTTATAAACTTAATAGAATTGTTGTACGTGACATTTTTTTTATAGATAAATTACATCATTTATCACTTAACTATCTTCTTACACCTATTCCGACCATCCACCGTCACCAGTGTCACCCCTTTCTTTTTTTTATTTTAATCATATGCTAATAAAATAATAATTAAAATATGACACATAATATAGAATGTCAATAATATAAATTAGAACAATCAAAGTGGGAGTAATTTGAAAGTTAATGATTAAATTTAAAAAATAAACTTTGGTGACTATAATAGGAGTGAGAAGATAGTTGAATGATGAATAATGTAATTAACCCATAAAAATGTCACGTATATCAGTCCTGTTAAATTTTTAACGACGGGGTACTAAAATGAAACATAAACTAAATGTTAGATATAATTTTGAAAAAAATAAAGTTTAGGTGACAAAATGGAACAAAAGTAATAGTATAGATACTAAAGTAATAGTTTACCCATCATTATAGTGCGCATGAAAAACTGATTTTTTTTACTCGACTCGAAATGACTTCGCGTTGTAATTTCATAAACTCGACTCGACTTGAAAAAAATTTCAAGTTCAAATCGAGTTGTAAAATACAACTCGAATAACTCAGATATTTTAGTAATTAGTGGATGAATTTTTAAGTTTGAGTTGAGCCTCTCAATTCTGTATGATATATGTATATCACATATAAAAGAAATATATATGTATTGTATATGATCATACAAAACCATTTAAATTGAATTCAAATAATATCATAATATTATAAAAAATTGATAATTAAATTTGAGCATAAATTCGAAAATTTGACTCGAATTTTATAAAATCGACTCGACTAAAAAAAATTCAATTCAACTCCGAGTTGTAAAATTGGACTCGTCAACTCGAATAACTCGACTCGATCGAACGCTCACCCCTACCACGCTATATGCTCAACTGGATTTAACTCGACTAATATTACATGTATATATATATTTTTGGCTTATATAACAAATAAGTATTTTGAAGTATGTTATCTTTTTTATTTAAGTACTTAAAGCATTTTTTTTATTAAAATAAGTATCTAAAGTTATCTTTTTAGTCAAAATAACTACCTAACGTATTTTTTGGTCAAAATAGGTACATAAAGTATTCATTTTTTTATCTAAGTGCCTAAAATTTTCTTTAATTAATGTTACATGTTAATTTTTAAAGAACCTAGATTAAAAAGTTTGAATAGTTTGGGTACTTATTTTGACATAAAATACTTCAGATACCTATTTTGACCAAAAACATAACTTAGGTACTTAAATAAAAAGTGGGTATACTTTAGGTACTTATTTGTGATATAAGACATATTTTTTTAATAATTTGGGATGATTATATAATAGTATATGTTCAAAATTTTTTTAATTAATTGGTAATACACACCCTGCAAAAGTAGATACTCGAACCTAAAACTTCTAAGAAGAACAACATTTTTTTTAACTATTAGTACCACTCGAGGAGTTTTCGCTTTTAGTATATTAAGATTGATATTTATGTTCACTATTCATTGATAATCCCTTATTACTACCCAAAAACTACAATTGATTTATATAAAGCATTAATTAACGGAAATTACTTCTTCAAAACATTCATCCCCATAGGGTGTTGAAAATCCACATAATAAATGACACAACCGGAAGTCAAAAGCAGCAATGACTGACCAATTAAAGCACATTGATGTGTACGTTTTACGAGTTTTAGCCAGCATTATCGATTTGTATAAATGTCGAAGCCATAACATTCAATGCACTAGACACTGCAAGAAGAACAAGAACTTTCATTATTTGTTTCAATTGTAGTGCTATTTTCTGAAAGAATATGGCAACTAGGTTCATGATAACGCCTGCAAGATAACATAGAAATTTCGTTTTATTTTTTATATTTATTCGGATAATGTTTTGTCTTTCACGTCCAGTTCAAGAATGGGAGACAATGTCAGAAGAAGAAAACCTGAAGATGGAAAGAGAACTCGATGTTATCAACAAACCTCCCATCAAGGAATTAAAAAAAAAATCATGTGTATTACAATGAATTTTTCATTTTTTTAGCTAGAAAAATTTTACTATTATTTGGAGAAGACAGTCATACAACACGACGACTCTTAATATTCAAGTATGTAGAAAATATCACGTCGTTTGACCATCTTTTTAAAAGAACATGTTGTCCGAACGTCTTCTTCGATGCACTGTAAACAATTTTTTACTTGAGAAATAAATTCCGCATGCTACTATTTAGATTTTCTTGTTACACTTCAATAATTGACTGATTTTGCCATGAGTTGTTTTTTCATGTGAACAGACTGATTATGGGGATATCTTGGATTGCATTAACATTCACAAACAACATGCTTTCGATAATCCTTTGCTCAAGGATCACAAAGTGTAGGTCACAATCTTTTCCCCCTTTTTTTTCTTGCAGCAACACCTTCAAATAATAATCTATTTGCATGCTTTTTCTCAAATATGATTTTTGAATGCAGATGAGACCAAAAAATATTCCAAAGTCGATGATGGAAGGCGAATCTCCAAGGTTATTGCCCGAGCACATAAAATGCCCACCAGGAACAGTGCTCATCAAAAGGACAACAAAAGATCTAATCATGGCCAACAAATTAGAAGCTTTAGGATTGAATTATCCATCAACTTCCCATCTCCATCAAGCTCCAGCCAAAAGTGGACATGCAGTAAGCAAATAAAATTCTTGTTTTATACATATAGCTTTCCAAGTTATATATGGTTTTGCTTGGATCCTTTTGTCGGCACAGATTGCTACTCTTCACTACTACAGGCACAACTTTGGAGCAAGAACAATCATGAACGTGTGGCGCCCAAAAACTTTATCTGATCAAGCTAGCTTGGCTAGCCTCTGGATTTCAAATGGCCCTTTAAATAATCTCAAGTTATTCAAGCTGGTTGGGGAGTAAGTAACTGTTTCTTATTCTTTATACTGTACACAGATATTTAAATTGCGGATTCAGTCAAGTTTTTAGTTTGCGGACATTACAGACACTATTGCTGTTATTATGGGTATCAAGATCAGACAATAATGGTTTCGAACGACACCATTACCGTTATATAGCTGTCACTATTCTGATAACAGTGACTATTTAAATCCTTGATTGTACATAAAACATGTCGTTCGTAAGGTTCCTATATTACTCTTAAGTAACACATATCAGACTTGATTTTTTCTGAATTTATTTTCCCAGGTTGATCCACTGCTTTTTTGGAGCAACTACACCAGGCTATATGCCCGATGGACTGTACGTTTTTTTTAAACCAAATTTTCCCTTAAGATCTAAGATAATTCGAACCAGACCAGTAATATTCATAATGTTCTTTCTTTTGATTTTTGTCCAACAGTTGGATAATTATAAAGCTACAGGCTGCTTTAATTATCTCTGTCCAGGATTTGTACAAGTTCACCGTGAAAAGTCTTGGTCTTGTTATAAACCATATTTATGTTTACAATGGTAAAGAAATATGTCTCGAGATCGCCTCTTCTTCTTCTTCTTCTTCTTCTTCTTCTCCTCCTCCTCCTCCTCCTCCTCCTCCTCCTCCTCTCCTCCTCCTCCTCCTCCTCCTCCTTCTTCTTCTTCTGCTTGAAATTTGAGATAGGGAAAATTATCCGTCTATTGCCTAAATTATTACTTTTGGTTTGTTTTGGTACCCAAATGTTATTTTATTTTCAAAAACATACCTAACATTTAATTTAAGTTTCATATCGGTATCCGCCATCAAAACTTAACAACTTCTTCTTCTTCTTCTTTTGCTTGAAATTTGAGATAGGGAAAATTATCCGTCTATTGCCTAAATTATTACTTTTGGTTTGTTTTGGTACCCAAATGTTATTTTATTTTCAAAAACATACCTAACATTTAATTTAAGCTTCATATCGGTATCCGCCATCAAAACTTAACAACGATGTTGACGTGTTACTATAAGATAGTGTCACATCATTATTGAAGAAATTTAAAAATATCATGTCAGAAGTTATGTTATTCTTTTAACGGTGGGATACCAAACGGAAACCAAGGCTAAATGTAAGACATGATTTTGAAAAAAAATAAAGTTTGGATATCAAAATAGAATAAAAGTAATAGTTTAGATACTAAACGTGTAGTTTACCTTAATTTTAAACTGTGAGAAAATCTTTATCAACAAAAGGCTTTGATTGCAAGATGGAGAATGGTGGCTCAAGTTGTTTAACCAGTTCACTGGTTATTGGCCGCAAAAACTGTTCTTTTACCTGTATGGTGGTGCCGATAACGTTATCTGGGGAGCTCAAGTTATCAGCCCCACAAACAAGCCTAGTCCTTCAATGGGGAGTGGCCATTTCCCTAAATACGGCCTCAAAACAAATCTGCCCACTTCAAGCAGACGCAAATATGGGACAACGTACACTTGATTTATTCACGTTCAGACCGCCTCCGGTTAGTTTCATCTCTTCCTGCTTGTTACGAGGCTGTGGTGAGCCACGGTGCTGCTCCTAATTCGATTGATCTTTATTATGGTGGTCCTGGTCAATGTAAAATTTAATTAAAAATGTAGCTGAAGAGTAAAATGCATGTTGTGTTAAAAATAAGTTATGAGTTGTTTGTTTCATAGTTGAATCTTGAAATCTTCATTTTCAGAGAAATGAAGTGTTGAAACAATCATGTTAGTTCTAGAATTAATGAATGTGTTAGTTTTACATATCTATGGTCGTGAGAAAGTTTATTTGTAATATCTTAGAAATTAGAATAACCTAAAAGGAGTAGGTGAGAGTGATTATCTCTTAAAAATTTAAAATTATCATACTTTAGATTTTTTTTATATTTTCTATTTAAATTCATTTTAATTCTCTTAAAATTTTATAAATTCAAATTCACACCTCTTACCATAAAATTATGCGCCCGATCCTAGTAGAAATTTTACATATTTTGCACTCAACAGCATCAAATTCCAAGTAATGGGCTAAATGGTCATAATTATGGTTTTATTAATTTTTTTTTACGGGAGCAACTTTGCACGTGTGATAATATCCTTGAAAGACGCTTTTTACAGGAACCTATTTTATATACATAACAATATTCCTAAAAAGCGTTTGCTTCAATACATTCAAAAGGCTTTTCCCCTTCGCTTTCGAAAAAGCGTACCTAAACGATAATATATAGTTTTAACCAGGGTAGTTATTAGGGATATAAATTCGGTTAATCGTTTAAGTTCCAGTCAGATTCTATCAGGTCGGATAAAATTGGATACATATCAAGTCAGGTAAATTTGATTCTTCAATTTGGATCAAGTCGGGTTCAGGTCGGGTTACTTTCAGTTTAAATCGATGTCAGTTCAGATCAAAACAGTTCAGGCCTAGAGTAGATAAAGACCATTTTAATTTAGGTTCAGATTGACTTCAGGCGGATCTCGTTCAGATCAGGTGACATCATTAGCAGATAAAATTCAGGTCGGATCTTTATCAGATACGAATTGAATTCAAATCGGGTCAATTTTTATTTTTGTATTAATTATTTTCGTCTTTCGAGAAAGTCGAATTGCAATTTGTAATTGTATCTGATTTAGAGTAAATTACTAAAAATAAAAATAAGCGTGAATCAATTTTATAAAAAAATATAAAATTAAGGACTAAATTGAACAAATATAAAATTACAAGTAAAAATTTAAATAAATTAAACAACACGTATTGATGAGAGACCAAATCGAAATAATTTTAAAATGTGAGGTTGAAATTAATATAAAAAGTACTAAATTATACCTATTTAAAAAGTTATGGGCCAATTAAAAAATATAAATAAGTAATAAGTATGGGTTAATTTCAGATGCAAATATAATTTTAAGGACTAAATTGAATAAATATGAAATTACAAAAAAAATTTAAATAATTTAAACAACACAAAGGATCAAATCAGAATAATTGTAAAATGTGAAGAAAATATGTAAAATGGACTAAATTGCATTCATTTCAAAAGTTGAAAAAAATGTAAACAAATTATATATATATATATATATATATATATGAATATATATTTATATACTATATATGAACTATATATATTTTGTATAAAATATAGTTTATATATAAAGTATATATATTATATATATAAACTATATAGTTTATATTTTTATTATTATATACTATATATAAACAATATATATATATATATATATATATATTAAACTATATATACCATGTATAAACTATAAAGTTTATATATGAACTATATAAACTATAGTTTATTAATAAATTATATAGTTTATATATAAATTATACAATATATATTTATATATTAGGTATAATTATAAATTATTTATACTATGTATAAATTATAGTTTAAATATAAAGTATATAAGTATACATATAAACTATAAATTATATATATAAGTATATATATACATATATAATAATATAATAATAAAGTATATATATATATATAAAGTATAATTATAAAGACTAAAATATAAATATATACATATAAAGTATAAGTATGTATGTATGTATGTATGTATATAAACTATAAAGTAATATATATATATATATATATATATATATATATATATAAATAAATAAAAAGTTTTAGTATAAAGTATATATACATATATAAATAAATAATAAGTATATTATATATGTATAAAGTATAATTATAAAGACTAAAGTATATAAGTATATAATATAAAGTATCTAAGTATATAAAGTATATATACATATAAATATATATATAATATAGACTATATATATAAACTATATAGTTTATATTTATATTATTATATACTATATATAAACTATATGTATATAATATGTATAAACTATATAAACCATGTATAAACTATATAGTTTATTAATATACATTATATAGTTTATATGTAAATTATATGAATTATATTTAAATAGATACATCTTATATTTATATATTATGTATAATTATAAATTATATAGTTTAAATATAAAGTATATAAGTATATATATATATAATATAAAGTATAAGTATATTATATATAATATAAAAGTATAAGTATATTATATATAAGTATAATTATAAAGAAGAAAGTATATAAGAATATAAAGTATAAGTATATATATATATAAACTATAAAGTAAAAGTATATATATAAACAATAAAGTATCTATATATATATATATATATATATATATATATATATATGTAACATAATTATAAAGACTAAAAGTATACAAGCATATAATATAAAGTATAAAAATATATAATATAAAATTTATAAGTATTAAATATAAAGTATATACGTATATATAATATAAAGTATATAAATATTAAATAAAAGTATATAAATATAATTATAAAGACTAAAGTATATAAGTATATAATATAAAGTATATAAGTATAAAGTATAAGTATATATAAGTATATAAGTATATATATATATATATATATTTATATACTATATATATATATATATTATACTTATATACTTTATATTATATACTTATATACTTTATATATATATTATAATTGTTTTAATTTCTCCAACTTTGAAATTAATGCAATTCAGTCAATTTTATAATTTTTCCTCACGTTTTACAATTTTTTTATTTGATCCTTTTATGTTGTTTATTGTATTTAAACTTTAATTCATAATTACATATTTGTTCAATTTAGTCCTTCAAATTATATTTGTATCTCAAATTGACCCATACTTATTTATATTTTTGTAATTTAATTAAAACCCTATAAAATGTAAATCACATAATAATTTTTTTTCAAATTATATTCACCAACTTTTTAAATGTATGTAATTTAGTCCATTTTTATATTAATATCAACTTCACATTTTATAATTAATTAAATTTCATCCCTCATCAATGTGTGTTGCTTAATTTATTCAATTTTTTATTTACAATTTCATGTTTGTTCAAATTAGTACTTTATATACATATATAAACTATAAAGCATAAGTATATATGTATATGTATATGTATATGTATATGTATATATATATATATAAAGTAATTATATATACACATATATATATATATATATATATATATATATATATATATATAATTGTTTTAATTTCCCCCAACTTTTGAAATTAATGCAATTCAGTCCATTTTACAAATTTTCCTCACATTTTTCATTTTTTATTTGATCCTTTTATGTTGTTTATTGTATTTAAATTTAAATTTGTAATTTTATATTTGTTCAATTTAGTCCTTAAAATTATATTTGTATATGAAATTGACCCACACTTATTTATATTTTTGTAATTTACATAAACAAACCCTATAAAATGTAAATCGCATAATATATTTCTTTTCAAATTATATTAACCAACTTTTTAAATGCATGCAATTTAGTCCATTTTTATATTAATATCAGCTTCATATTATATAATTAATTCAATTTCATCCCTCTTCAATGCATGCTACTTAATTTATTCAATTTTTTATTTCTAATTTCATGTTTGTTCAATTTGGTACTTTATATACATGTATGTATATGTATATGTATATGTATATTATGTATATGTATGTATATGATGTATATGTATATGTATATGTATATGTATATGTATATGGTATGTATATGTATAGTATATGTATATGTATATATGTATATGTATATGTATATGTATATGTATATGTATGTATATTTATATGTATATGTATATGTATATATGTATATGTATATGTATATGTATATGTATATGTATATGTATATGTGTATATATATGTATATGTATATGTATATGTATATGTATATGTATATGTATATGTATATGTATATGTATATGTATATGTATATGTATATGTATATGTATATGTATATGTATATGTATATGTATATGTATATGTATGTATATGTATGTATATGGTATATATGTATATGTATGTAATGTATATATATATGTATAAAGTATAATATACATTATATATACATTCATTATACATATTATATATATATATATATATATATATATATATTGTTTTAATTTCCCCAACTTTTGAAATTAATGCAATTCAGTCCATTTTCCAATTTTCCTCATATTTTACAATTTTTTGATTTGATCCTTTTATGTTGTTTATTGTATTTAAATTTTAATTTGTAATTTCATATTTGTTCAATTATTTCCTTCAAATTATATTTGTATTTGAAATTGACCCAAACTTATTTATATTTTTGTAATTTACTTAAAACCCTGTAAAATGTAAATCACATAATAAATTTCTTTTCAAATTATGTTCACAACCTTTTTAAATGTATGCAATTTAGTCCATTTTTTATATTAATATTAGCTTCACATTTTATAATTAATTCAGTTTCATCCCTCATCAATGCATGTTGTTTAATTTATTCAATTTGTTTATTTCCAATTTCATGTTTGTTCAATTTGGTACTTTATATACATATATAAACTATAAAGTATAACTATATGTATATATATATATATATATATATATATATAAAGTATAAAATATATAATATAAAGTAAAAAAGTGTTTGGATATAAGTATTAAAGTATATAAAAATAAGTATTAAATATAAATTATATAAGTACGTAAGTACTAAAATATATAATATAAAGTATTAAACTATATAATATAAGTATTAAATATAAAGTATTAAAGTATATAAATATAAGCATTAAATATAAAGTATATTAATAATCATA